CTGTGTTTGTAATTCATACTGTATGTCTGATCTGCCCCAGTGTTGAAATACCAGAGACAAAAATCTGTCTCGTTCCAGTCCCTGCTTGTAGCTGGTGTGCTGCTGAACTCGACGTCTCGGTTTTATGTTCAAACATTCTCGCTCACTTTGATGTGCAGGGAAATTTCTCTATATCGATCGTTTATATCACATATTTGGAACTGCTGGTCCTTTGCTTTACAAGACAACCCAGGTGTAATATTTATTTAGTGTATATGTACAAAGAATTTCCTTCCAATAATCTAGGAAACATACTGCTATAAATTAAACATTAATAACGAGAAGGGCACACTCACTGGACACTTGATCTGGTATATTTTGTTAGTATTGGTTTTCACCTACTCCCCTACTCCTCGCCTTTAGAACTGTCTAAATTTTCCAGGACACAGATTCAACAAAGTGCTGAAAACATTCCTCAAAAATTTGTGGTCCATATTGACATGACAGCATCAAACAGTTGCTCTAGATTTGTCTGCTCCACATCTATGATGCAAATCTCCAATTCCCCCACATCTTAGTGGATTGAGATCTGGTGACTGCGTTGTTTGAGTCGTTTGAGTCGTTTGAGTACTGTGAACTCACTGTTGAGATAATTTGATCTTTGTGGCATGGAGTGTTATCTGTACATTAACAATACTCAGGCATGCTGTGACTTTTTTGCAATGCTTAGTTGGTACTAAAGTTTTCCAAGAAAATATCTCCCACATCATTATACTGTTTACACTGAACAGTTTATATAAAGAATTATGGATCCATGCTTTTGTGTAATTTACATGAAATTCTGACACTGCTTTCTGACCAGATGACATTTTTCCATTTTCCTAGCGTTCCCATACGGGAACAATAGGAAAGTATTTGTCTCATTCCAGTGCCAAATGCAATAATAAGTGCAGTATTTATATATGGAATTTCAGTAGGCCTATACCAGTACTTACCTGTAGTTACGTTCCTATTCTACATACACATTTTGTGGAAACCAAGAAAAATAATTCCAAAAAGCTTCTATTAGAACTAAAGTTTATAAGACATGAAATCTATGTTTTTACTTCTTCTTCTCGCGGGGGAACAAACTCTGCTGGCACTGTTTCTGGGGACCCTTTTTACGAACGGACAGACCAAACAACGACACGTTCAGCTAATTTTCACATTTTTAGCGTTGTTTTTGGTGTAATTGGACAAGCAAGGATGCAGACTATAGTCACACGCTACAGTTGTAGATAACCGCCAACTCCACAAAATTACGCATTTTTACTTGCAACAGTATTTGCACAGCGTTTTTATTTAACATTATGTCGGCGACCGTTGCTCTGCTCCCCGTTACAAACTGATTGTTTTTTCTTTTTTTGGACAGAAGTCACAACAGAGGTTAGTATCACGAACTCAGCACTGACGTGTTGGAAACTGTCACGCAGAAAATGTTCGTATTTTTATTAAATTTATATTAATGGTAAATTAACGATAAAAAAAATCGAAAAAGAAGTCGCATCTTCGTTGCCTGTGGTGTTTGTTTTGTATTAATTTAACTAAAAATTTAAGTACTTTTAGGCGAGTTGGATCTTATCATTGAGGGCGTATTTTCTGTTCAGTCTTTAGCTAATGCTGCTGACAAGTGCTCGCCTGTCCAAAGTGCTGCAGCTCACCCTGGCGGTCATCAAACCAGATGCTGTGGCTCATCCTTTGATGCTAGAGGTGAGCTGCCCTCGTGTTTAAGTTACAGAATTTACGACCTAAGATTACAGAGTTGAAGTGGTAGTTTGAAAGCTACAGACTACCACAGATTCAACAAGGTACTGCAAACATTCTTCTGAGCCTCTGTTTAATTGCTTTTTTTAAACCCACTGTCAAATAAAACAGCAATTAATTAATTGATGTTATCTGTTCTGATATCAATTTAATCGAGTGGTAAAGAAGCATTTGCTCACCTCACAGACCTGGAGGCTTCAAAATCATAGCAGCTGTGTCTATCATAAAATATTCCATCAGTGATAGGTTTAATTTCACTTGTTAATGTGCATTACTTTATTGTTATCTCAAGTTAAAGCACAAGAGGATGGCCTTTTGAATCAGAGCTGTCAATTTTTACCTTTTTCTCTGCAAAAAAATCTACACACAGTAGGAAAAAGCATCTAAAGTTGATTCCAGTCATGTTTTGATGCAAACATCGTGATTCCTGTCTTTCAGGCTCTTCACCAGAGAATTCTAGACAACAACTTTGGGATTGTTAGATGCAAAGATCTGGTCTGGAGACGACAGGACTCTGAGAGGTTTTATGCTGAACATTCAGGTTTGGAAACAATTCATTTGTGTTTAAGCTTTACTTAAATGAGAGAAGTACTGCTGTAGTATATAATGTAACCAAATAAATGAGTCAGCAGCCCATTTTAGCAGGGTGCACTGTATGTATGACAGTTAAAAGAAATAAATGTCTTGTCAAATAAAGGATAGCTGTTTTCTCCTTTCTGTTATCGAAGGTCTTTATTTTTGTTTTACAAATCTCAGGGAGATTCTTCTATCAAAGACTTGTTGAATTCATGTCAAGGTAAGCCTCCATGCTTATATCATGGACACATTTCGTTGACTCCATGTAATTGAGTTACAATTTTATGTGTTTGGATGATTGTTGTTGGGTGTTGTATTTTAAATGGAATAATGGATCGAGAGCCATCAGCACCTCTGCTGATAGCACTCCAATTTCATGCTCAGTAAGGCACCAGTAAACGTTTTTCCCAAAACAGGACAACAGGAGATTCAGTTATCCGTGTTTAGAACACAATTCCCTGGTGCAGTAGCCTAAATATCGCTATGCAGACCACTCACAATAGGTCCTCCCGCTGCGAGCCTCCATTGGATTGGTAAAGGTGTTTGTAATTACTTTGTCTTTTTTTGTCTGCTCACAGCAGTGAAGCAGTAGTTGCTACAGCAACCCTTCTCTGACTGCTGCTATTGATATCGCAAACATAGGAAGCATCTTCAAGTGTGTCAGCCAGTCAAGCTTGATGCCGCACCAGCTGGCATTGTTTAGCTAAAACGGATTTATTTATGGCTGAACTGTCTTCCCAGGAGGTCCTGGGGGCGAATAGATTAGATTTGTATGAAGAGTGTTTTTTTTTGGTCTGCTATCTAGAAAACATCAGCAGTGTTCAAAGTCAGATTCATGACTGCTGTGGAAATTTGTCCTCAGTGGGCCAATGCGAGCGTACATTTTAGCCAGGGAGGATGCCATAAGCCACTGGAGAGAAATGATGGGGCCGACCAAAGTGTTCAGAGCCAGATTCAACTCGCCTGCTTCCATCAGGGGCCAGTTTGGACTCACAGACACAAGGAACACAACTCATGGCTCAGGTAAAAAAGCTCCCAAGCTTCATAATGCTAAAAAAATGATAACAAAATTATATGTGTAATGTTAATAATCTATTATTGTGAATATATTATCTTAAACATATGCAAGAGGTCATAGTGGGGCGATCGTGGCTCAAAGAGTTGGCAGTTCGTCAGTCTCGGTCGTTGTGTCCTTGGGCAAGACACTTCACCTACCGCCTACTGGTGATGGCCAGAGGTGCTGATGGCACGATATAGCAACCTCGCTTCTGTCAGTCTGCCCCAGGGCAGCTGTGGCTACAACTGTAGCTGCCTCCACCAGTGTGTGAATGTGAGAGTGAATGAATAGTGTACAGCGCTTTGAGGGCTATATAAATGCAATCCATTATTATTATTATTATTATTATAACTCCTGCGGTTACCAGGTTTACACATGACTCAATTTCACATCTTTTAAAGCCCATCAGTTTCTATAATGGTGTTTGGTGTCATTGGGCAGAAAACAGAATAGTCATAGTCTGTGCAAAACACTCCTCTTTTCTTTTTGTTTCACTAGAAAATTGGGAAATGGGTACAATGATTTATTGAAACGTGCAAACATGAATGAAAATAAAAGGCAAAAACAGCTTTCTGTAGTTTCAGGAATAGTTCTCCAGGCTTTTTGAAGGACATGAAAAAACAAACGAAACATTCTTCAGAAGATGGTTGGGTACAAGGACTGGACTGAAAATGAGGGAAAAGCAGAAATCATGGAGAGCTATTTCTATTATAAGATTTATTATAAGTCTGGCTTATTTGGGGAAAAAACTATAAAGAGTTGAAGGCTCAAGACTTTTGCACATTATTGTACATTTATATTTTGAACATGTAACAAGTAGTATTGCTGCATGAAATATGTAAGAAATGTTTAAGATTTGCGTTTATTTCCATAGCAGATCTTGGAATCCATCTTAATATTTTATAGTAACGCGTCTGTCTGGTTGCACATAAATGACATTTTTAGACCAATTAAAAAGAAGCCTGTAATTACTATGCTAATTTTTGATTTTCCGTTCTGTTATTGTTTTCTGTAGATTCTCTTGAGTCGGCTCAAAGAGAGATTACTTTCTTCTTCCCAGACTTCTGTGCAGACGAGTGGATGAAAAAGGAGGAGCCATTGTTTAGATCAGGGCAGATCCGTTATGACCATCAAAACCAGATTCACACACTTTCATTGTCAAGCTGACACCAGATCAGCTCAATGCTGTCAACATCATCAGTATAAAGACTAATACTATTACTGTTTATCTATTGCTCACATATATACAGAGGTACCTCAGCTGAAGGCCACATGATTACCTGATTGTCTTTGAGCATTGCAAATGAGTTCATTTTAAAAGGACAGTACATTTCGGTGTTTAATTTATTATCATTAGAAAACACAAATAACGACAGAATTTTAAAAAGTAACCTCGATATCTTACAAAACACGATGCTGTTTTCTTTTTTATTATCACAAACCTCCGTCCAGGCTTCACTGTAAATAGTGCAATCATCACAGTCAGTTTCCTGAGCCTTTTGCTTTGTAGGACAGCAGCGACTACAAATGGTGCATCAATGCCAAGTAACAAAACTATGAAACATTTATATCATATTAAATAATATTGCAGTAATAGTTTTACACCTATGTTAATGTTCAACCACATCTTAAAATGTGAAAATACTCTGGATTAAACTATTTTCGAGTTCAGTGCTAAGCAATGATTTCTTTACACTGATGTGGAAACAAGCTGTCAGCTGTAATATACTACAATTGCTTTTAATATGACATTCGCTGTAACATACCACGTTTCGTTTTGCCTGTTACTCCATGCTTGTTTGATCAAATGTCTCTTGTAAAAGTCTCCAACATGTCAGTAAAACATACATCGTACATTATTAAATGCACTAGAAATCTGATTTTTGTGCTTTCGACACCTGTCAGACCACAAAACCTGTTCGATTTCTTTCGCAGTCATAATTGTTGTCATTTTTTGGCTTCTTCCAATGTCCCCCTGCACTCAGGTGTTTTGTGTTGCCACCTGTTTGATAGCTTCCACTGGTTTCATGACCTCATATGTCGTGAGGGACTTCTTCACCTTCCCGTTCTTGTCCACCTGGTGGATGCTCTGGGTGACTGTAATGGTCACCTGCTTGGTCGACATCCGATTGTCCTGCCATTTTGTCTGTTAATGGAGAATAAATGGACAATAAAAAAACAATAAAAAAACACTGAAATACTGACAATGTGGTAAATATTCTTCCTGGGGTCCTACACACTCAAGCCAACATCAACAACATGTCAGTGTAAAACAAGCCAATTCTGCTTATACACACAGCACTGAATTTCGCAGAACATAAAACTAGTTTATAAAAGGACACCAAAAGAAGCGATAGTCAACATCTGCATTACTTCATTGCATCCAAGTGACTTCTTCAGTCTCAGCTGACTGCAGGTTACCCCAACCTTATAAACAGTGCATTTGCACAGTAACTGAAACCAGCCCACTGAATGAACAATAGGTTGACAGGTCAGTTCCTTGATCATTAATATGCAAATTGTCATGACCATTGATAAACAACCATTGATCAAAGACCATTGGTCAATGGCCATAAGTACCATTCACAGAGAGTTGGGGAATGGCTACCATCACAGCACTGTAAGATGGTGAAAGATGTACCCTTTGGCCCCCTCCTCGATTCATAGATGGTCTTTCCCTTTTCACGTAATGTCTCTGTCTTCATGTCTTAACAAATATTTAAATTCATCTTTAGTACTCTGTTGCATAATATAAATTGGTAAGGAGTTCTATCCTATCATAGTTCTGTAAATTGTTTTCTGTGTGCACATTGTACAGCTTTATTTTGAGCTACCTGCAACTTTTTAAAATTTCTTTTGATGAAGCACTCAACCAGATTACACTTCAATAATCAAACTGCGACAGAACAAATTGATTTAAAACATGTTTTATAGCCTCTGGTGTCATTAATGTTTAAACCACACCACTGACAGACCTCTACCTATATTACTTATTAAATTATAATATCAGTATGTTTTGACCATGTTAATTTACAATCCACTGTTCTACCTAATCAGTTTCTCTCCTGGTCTGCAACTGTTCCATGGGAATATTATTATTACCTAAGCTTAAGTATTTGCTTTGTTTTTGGTTGATACCTGCATTACCATACACTTTGGTTTGCTAACATTAAACATCAGTTTATTATCTTTCATCCAATTTTCTACTGCTTTCAAATATCTAACATATCAATTGAAAGAAAGAAAGAAAGTGTACTTTATTGATCCCCGTGGGGAAATTCCTCTCTGCATTTAACCCATTCACTCAGTGAAGCAGTGGGCAGCCATTGGGCGCCCGGGGAGCAGTGTGCAGGGACGGTACCTTGCTCAGGGGTACCTCAGGGTAGCTGTTCAGGGGAATCAAACCCCCGACCTTCCGATCATGGGGCCACCACTCTACCTACTGAGCTATCCCTGAGATATTAAAAATTAAAAAAAAGAATTGTTAATAAAATCCAAAACTAACAGTGGTCCCAAACAGGTACCTTGAGGCACTCCACACATCACATTTCTTGTCTTTGACATACTATTAAAATAAATGGTCTGCCTGTGATTTTTCAGATAGCTTTCTAACAAATTTCAATGACGTGCTTGAAAAAACAGAATTTACCAGCTTATTTAATACCTAGACAGTGATCAATAAAACCAAAGGTAAAATCTTAGAAGTGATTGTATGAATGTGTTTAGCTCCAAATGTGAAACGAAATGTTTGATGTGCCACACCTTAGATGTAGGTCAGTATTGCAGGGGAAAAAAGGTGCTGTGATGCTGTGAGCTGTCTTGAGCACATTTAAACACATTACAGAAGGAAAGGCTTACGATCTCTTCAGTGTGCAGAACACTTCTGCGCTGCACTGTGGTTCCAGAAGAAGGCATCGTCGTGTCCTGCCGCGGAGAGCCCAGTGCTGTTGGTGTGCTGCTGGGCTTCACATCGTTCAGGCTGGCTTCAGACATGGCCGAGCAGACCTTTAAGTAGGCCTGAGCCGGTGGCGGGAGGCCGTCTTCAAAGAAATCTGGAACTGTAAAGATGTAGAGGTTCAGCTATGTCTGCTTATGTGTTTGTAGCTTTTATACATTTCTATGAATTTTCTTTTTTTTTCTCTTGAAGTTAATCAATTTCAGCTTGATAAGATAACCGCTATGCCACAATTAGCTTCTGTTAGAAGTCATTGGTAAATGAAATGGTAGCGATTACATATTGACAACTTAGTTGTCTTACACTGAACCAACTTGATGGTACTGTGGAAGCGTGAGCTGTGATCAGTTATTCGCAGGTAGTCGATGTTTGCATTTTACAGATGTGTGTACACCTCATCTCCTCGTTAATGTGTGACCATGTGTCTAATGATGACAGATGACATATGGTGCAGGTTGGACAAAACCAAAACACGAAATGAGGACATTTTAATGAATACTTTCTATAGACATACTGAACCACAACTTATTATGATTATTATCATAAAAATCTGTTTGGTTCCCAGCTGCTGATTAATTTAGCCAATTTTGGGTCTGTTTTATCTCTCCACATTGAAGCTCGAGTCAATTTGCCTTCACAATTACATCAAGGCTCCTCTCCCTGCATTCACTCATGCCTGTATCTGTTGCCATGAGAGCTGAGCCCTGTTTGAGCACAGTGGCTTTTAAAGCAGCCTATCATCCCCATTTACTGACTCATCTGCCCTTGGCTTCAAAGAAAAGAAGAGGATCCATCTAAGAGATTTATCCGTTTCTGATGTCCTGACCTGTTTGTAGAGACACATACAACTAACTGCACACTAGAAGAACAAAGGTCTCTAAAGTGGATACTTCCTCTGTCACTCATGTTTCTGTTTTCTTTCTTCTACATAATGGATTCTTGTTGAAATCAGGCATGCCATCAGCACAGCCCTTGACATGAAGAGATGGTCCACTCCGCTTTGATAGAAAGAGTGTAAAGAATGGGCAAATCATTGCTAGTATGTTCAAATTATTTACAGCAATGCGATTTTAAAGGATGTACCTTGCTCATTTAAAACGGCAGTAGAACAATAACATTAGAATCTACGGATTGATGCAAAACCAAACAGATTTAAAATCATCTGTTACAGATATATTAAATTCTGATGGGGGAGCCTCCCACCCCCCTTTATATTTCTTCATACAGTAATCAAGGATATTTCTTTTCAGCAGGTTAAATTAATGCCTGCTCCGGTTAAGAGATTAATTTTAGTATTCATTCACCCATCTGCTCAGCCATACAGTAATCCATTCTTCTTACCAGGGCTGATTGTTTTCTCAGAAGTGAAGCCAGCTTCTGAGTTCTCAGAGGGGATGCTCTGGATGGATGACAAGGGGATATCTGTGTCTGTGCTCGTCAGCCATGTCGACTCCGTCTCTTTTGTCCAGCTCTCCAGGTAGCGAGGCTCCAAAGCGTCAGTTCTGCTGCCCCCACAGCCCATGGCTCTTCACTTCCCAGCTCAAAAAGATTCACACTGGAAGTGATTTGAATCACAGGAAACTGTGATGTTAAGTGTGTGTCTACTGATCCAGTTCTTTACACGACATGCACTGCAAAACAATCGAAATGACTTAAAAATGATGAGATAATTACTCAGTGTGCCTGCTGTGCACTGTGAGTGAACAACCAGACCTCTGCAACACAGGAGTCATCCAAATACACTTATTTATGCACTTTATTGTCTCATATGAGAGATATGACACAAACACATACTTACAGCACAGCACACAGCTGTGGGAGAAGCTGAGGGCCCTCATACAGTTAGTATGCATCAGCTTCTGTCCTTCAGAGAGCAGATTATGTGGTCCCACCCTGTGTTAACTTAGCTATGTTTAGGTTTGTTTAAGCAGCATCTTCTGATTATTAAGTAGATCAGGGAGACCGTGTTCAAATCTACAGGAGAGAGATGAGAGAAGTTATTGAAATGTG